GTAAGTTTTTGAGTCACTCATGAACAGTTAAGTGATTTGATTCCATGCTGCTGATGTAAACGGTGCTACACATTGGGATCCTCCCAGTTTTCCATTTATTTAGCCCATGCTAACAGCTTTGTTAGAAAGGACTTTACACGTAGTATAAGAACTTCACCTGAAGTATTCTTTCCAAAGTATAACTTCTACAAGACGACAATCAATAACAATCATGGACAGGCCTGTCAGGGGAATCTGAATAACTGGATATTGCTTCCACAGTGTTGCAAGCAAACGCTGGGGTCAGAGGACTGGGGTCACTGTCAGCGTGTGGTGGAGGATAGTGAAAACAGGATCAGCATAACCTCAGTACAGCTGATCAGTCGCATCTTTTCTCATCTTGATATTTGTTAAAGGTCCCAAACGTTAGCCTGAACACACAAAATAAATATTCCAATATTTTGTCAAACAGTCTAAAGCTTATGGTAAAAAGTATTTCACATTTTCAACAAATTTAAACATATGTTAGATTGTGGTAAAATATAATCCAGCAAGACTAAACTCTCTTCTGGTGCTAGTTTGTTTATTTCAGGTTCACACTGGCTTTTAACAAACAAACCAAGAGGTGTGAACTTGTGGCCATCATGTTACTGCTTGTTGGAGAAGGGCTATAATAAATGGAGTAGAATACTGTATCTATGGTAATGGTTTAATGGCTTTGTGTTTAATGGGTGATATGGCAAAGAAATGAAATGAAAGCTCTTTATTTGAATCGTTTTTCCTGTAAATGTAGAAGAATCCAAACATGCATAGCTCCTGCTCTGACAGACGATGCCTGTGTCCAAGCAACCATAAAAGGGGTTCTCTCTCCCACGATGGCATGCTTCTCCTCTGACAGGCCGATGCCTGTGTCCAAGCACCCAGAAAAGGGGCTCTCTCTCCCACGATGGCATGCTTCTCACGCCCACAGGCCGGTGCCTGCGGGGGAGCACCCCCAGAGGGGTGCCCTCTCCCTGGACTGCCTCTCCGCAGTCCTCGGTCTCCTGGAAGTCAGATGGTTAACTGGACAGAACCTCCGGCCGCAGCCGTGTGAAGACTCCTCGTTCTTCTTTTTGCCTCGGTTTTTATAGGATTCTGGTCAGTGATTTTTGTCCTCTCATCCATCCAGATGCCGCAATTTGCAGTTGATACCTTATTTGGCGTGCAAAATCATATTGTTCTGAAGTATTGCATATTTTTTACTGTCAGTCCAAGCCCGTAAATGGCCTCTGCCCCACTGTGATCCAGCCTTGGATTCTACTTCCTCTTTTCTAGAAAACTAAACCATCTGAATACATAACGAAAATACAAGAAACTCACATCTGACTGATATATCAAAATCCCATCATTGCTTTTTAATAAAAGATGGTAATAAGTGTCCAGTACTGTTGTGAGGTTTACACTGCCTGGTTTAAACTTATGTTAGGACTTTTCAGCTTCATTGTCTAGTTTAAAACATTTTTTAGGAAAATAATCAAAAAGAAATTAAAAGTAATGTTACATTACTTAGAAGTAATTAAAATAGTTACATTAATAGTATGTACGTTACATTATGTAACTGGTAATCTGTAACCTATTACATCTGGAAAGTAACTTTCCCAACACAGTTTGTCAGTAATGCAACAAGAGCAGCTGGTGTTCTTATTCACAGAGAAACTAACTGGTTGTTTCATTAAAGAAATCAGCCAATAATTGGCTGTTTCCATCATGCCATGAGCAGCCACATCTCAGGCTGTTCACGGCACTGGTAATGTAACTGACCCATTGTCAGGCAATTTGTGCATACACATGTACAAATCTGTAAATAAAGGGGAAATAACTTCACAATTCATTTTAGATATTTCAATACAAAGATTTTCAAATTTTATCAGATCTATAAACTTGGAGTTGAATATACTGTACATGTAAAATACAGATATTTATTCAAGATGTGTTTTTGTTTGTAAAATTGTTTTATATTTGTTCAAACTGCTGTTTTTTTAATCTTCTTGTCTAAGTCTCAGGGAATTCTAGATTTATTAATTCATAAACCTGTTTCCTCTGAGAAGCAGTAACGTCACATGACGGACTCACAACACTACTGGATGTAAGATGCTGCTTATTTACAGTCGTTCCAAAGCTCAAGAACCTAATTAACTTTTGAACAAAAGATATTTTGCTTTATCACTCATCCCCTTTGATTACCAGGAGACTGTCTTATTTAGTGTAGAAATCTAATTTGTAATTGTACAACATTAAAATCAGACAATATTTATCAAGTTGTTTCAGATGCAGCAAAATGCTCCTGGTATTCCAGTGATGCCAAAATCAGTCTTTCACTACATGAATGTGACGAACAGTTTCATTCCAAAACAGCTCTGTAGCTCTTTGTTTTTCTGTGTCTGCCACAGCCTACCGTGGTTTATTATGTGACCAGTCTCACTGGGACATTATGCAGCTGCAGAGCTGCACCTGAAGTGCTTAATGTCAATGTTTCTTGGAATAAAAATGTTGGTGAAAAGCATTATTTTCATCTCACTGTAATACAGCCAGGTAACAACACTCAAGGCTTATAAAAGCTAAATAATGGCTGTTGTCATATGTGATCTTTTACATTTCTGACTGTACATTTCAGCTTTTCAACCGATACTGAGCTGGTGAAGCAGTAGAATTTCATCAACACTGGACATCAGTTAAGGGCATTTTGGGGTGAGACCTGACGCCCCTCTGCTCTGAGCCAAATATCTACTGTATATCAGTAACTCAACCAGACACCAGAAAGGTGGTGCCAGCTATGCCCAAGCTGTGTGAGCTCCCCCACGTTGTCCAAAGCAGTGTTTTTCCTTCTCAAGCACCCTGTGCTGCTGAAACAAAGATGAAGAAGTGACTCTGACAGTAATGAGTAATTAGCTGCTTTGTGCAAAGGTGAAAAGATTAATGACAGGCGAATGTGATAACTGCAGTTTTCAGCTCTTGCTGTTAGATAACTGCACATTACTGTGTTGTATATAAAAAGAATTTAACTCTAAGCGTTGATCATGTAAGCAGCTTTGTCTTGAGGCATTTCATTCTTTTACATTTAGTCCTTCATATGTTCAAAGCTCCTGCTAATGAAAAGATAAACATGAATAACTCTCCCTATAACCAATTTAAGGCTGTTTACAGTAAGTTATTCTTCTCAGGGACAACATGCAAACTCCACACAGAAAGGCATCGGGTTGGCCGGGGCTCAAACCCAGAACCTTCTTGCTGTGTGGTGACGGTGCTAATCGCTGCGCCGCCATGCTGCCCTGATCTTCAACTATACAATCAAAATCTGATTTGACGAAATTTTTACATCAAGCTGAGTAGTATGAATTTATGCATCTTGCCACAGTTTTGCAACAAGCCACTGTGCATATTTTCTCCAAAGGTCTAATTTAAGACATTGATAACTGTCAGGATTAGTCAGTGACACTCATCATGACAGTTGTCTTGCTTGCAGCAGGTCAGAGGTCTTAAGTTTGTGTTGTCCGTCCATCCATACAGCCCATTCTTGTAAATGCCATATCTCAGGAATGCTTTGAGGAAATTTATTCTAAGCTGGCACAAGCGTCCAATTGAACTCAAGGATGAACTGATTAGACTTTGGTCATCAATGGATCCTCACATGTCCCATTCCTGTGAACTTGGCTGGTTGGCAGAGGGTTAGAGCCACTAGGCAGCGATTCTAGTTCTTTCTGAATAGAATTAAACTGGTAACTCCCACACTGTTCAAGTACATTTTATGTAAAGACATAAGGGTCTCTGCTGTACAAATTTAGACTGTTCTTTTACAAGTTCTCTTTTGAGTCCCACCAACCCCAGGAGTGCTATATTATATCACTAAAGTACTTTTAAAAAGAATTGTTGTTTTGCTGCAGTGTTTTTGTACTCAGCTATATCAGAACAGAGAACTAATGAAAGAAAAGAAAGCAAGCCCTCAAAACTAGTAAATGCCACCTTTTCCCAGATGGTTCCTGTGAAACACACGTATTTGTTGTCCAGGTGCTGAGTCCAAAAATATATTTGTGATTTCTGCCTCCCAAGGACACACAACCCAAACTGGCCCTTCATACAATGGCTTTAACCTCCGTGTCTGACAAAGCCCCAGGTTAGGCTGAAAGGATTGTACTGTACTATAATTCATTGTTTTAAAGGAGTGTTCATTAGAACAGACAACACTTGACAGCTCTGAGAAAGGTGTGATGAGACAGACGGCGGTGTCTTTTCTGAGGACTTCGTTGTGTCCCCTTTTGGAGAAATGTCAATTACTACTTCTTCACAAGTGTACTGTACTGTACAGTATACAAAAATAAACCTCAAATTTTAATGAGCCGTAGTTTACCTTTACTCAGAATCAGCAAGATCCAACTTTTACTCTGAAAACAATTAAACATTTCAGACCAAACACAGGCCTGAAGAGAACTGAGTCACTGTCTGCATGCTCACGAGGAAAACAAAACTGACGACACATCCATAGGGGTGTTAAAAGTGTTTGACATTTATTATGCATTCTGTCAGAAGTCCTAGAAATCAACTGAAAAATGTTTTCTTTCCAGACTGAAGTTTTGAGATAATGTCTATTTATTATCCATAATGGTCTTAGCTGCATATCACATGGCATGTTGTAATATCTACAGGCATGGATTTGATTTGTACTGACAATCTATTAGAGCTTTCATTTTACAACATGTATAGTACAACCACGTCTGTCATCACCACCGAAGGTCCCGTGTAATGTTAACAGTAGGCCGTGGCACTACCCACTTTCACATTAGACAGTGACACCAAAACAGTTAACAAAAATTATTTACAACCCCTAAAAGCCAAAGTCATTTACTTTAACAAACTGTGCATGAGTTTTTACTTTTTTCATTTTGCCTGTTCTGAAATTCTTCATAATAATATTTTACAATAGAAATACAGTGCGTTAGTGCAGTAAATAAGACACATGAATGATTTAAATGAAATCTTAGCTATTATCTTCAATCATCCCCTACACCACCTCAGTACTCCACCCGCTCCTTTACATCAGATTAAACCATGTTTCCCAGCTATTTTACAACAATGGGCTTTATCAGCTCATGTGAGTGTTTTCCAGAACGACCAGCTGTCTACATTGGTCATTGTAAACTTTGAATTGTGACTGATCAACCTCTTCTTGCCCTTCTTGTAATTCCAAGGAGGTATTTGCAGGTGGTAGGGGGCAGAGTCAAATATAATAGTGACAGGACTGGTTGTGTGGAGTCAACTCACTTAGCAGCTTGCCAAATAATGATGCCAATTACAAGGAGCACGATAGAGCAAACCATAGCGAGGATGCAAATCTTCTTCCGGGACTTTTGCTGTGAATAAAGAACAAGCAGGGACAGGAGTGTTATCGGTATGGACTGCACTGAATGATCACACTCTGGGTGACTGCTGCACACTCACCTGGTAGTGACTGGCTCTCTGGAGCTGCTCAGTTCCTCGCTCTACATGAACCTCAGCATTCTCTACGTTTGCCTCAATGCTGTCTGCAAGGCAGAACATACAGATCCTTTCACTGCAGAAGCTTCCTTTTTCTCTAATAAATATTATCTATGAATAATTATTATACATAAAGTATTCCATAACTTCTGTAATAGGGCCTTTATTTAGATCAAATAAAGGTTTTAATTTGTTACAGGACAAAGCCCATGATAACAAAGTGAAAATATACTTTTTGAATTTCTTTTGCCAAATTATTAAATATAAAAAACTGATATCTCTTTTACTAAAGTATTCAGAGCCTTTTCTGAGGCCCCAAACCATGGTCAGGTACATCCTCTTTGCTTTAATTCTCCTTGAGATGTGTCTAGAACTTGACTCAAGTCCAACAATTCACACTACACATCCAGACAAAACCAAAAGGTCTAGAGAATTCTCTAGTAGTAATGGAATTGGTCAGATGTGCACCCAAACTGAGTAACCAGGAAAAAAAGATCCTTGGTCAGGGAGGTCGCTCTAACAGAGCATCAGAAGTCCTCTGCAGAAATGGAGAACCTGCCATAAGGACACCCATCTCAGCAACTCTCAATCAAGCAGACCTTTATGGTGGAACAGCTAGACAGAATGCACTTTGAGTAAAAGACATATGACAAGTAGGTGCATTTTGTCAAACAGCATTTTAAAGGCTTGAGAACTGAGAACAAAGATTCTCTGGTCTGATGAGACAAAAACTGAACTCTTTGGCAGAACTCCAAGCAGCGTGTCTGGTAAACAGCAGGCCCTGCTCTTCAGCCACTAAGACCGTCCCTATGGTGGGGGCAGCATCCTCCTATGGGGGTGCATCTCAGCAGCAGGTACTGGTCAGAACTTAGGGAAGGTTGAATGCAGCCAAATGCAGAGAGGTCCTTGAAGAAAACCTGCTCCAGAGGGTGCAGACCAGAGCACACAGACCAGAGACTGTGGTGACAGCTGACCTTTCAGCATGACAGTGACCTGAAGCGTACAGCCAAGTCAACACTGGGGTGGCTTCAGTCTCTGACTGTCCCTGAGTGGCCCAGCTAAAGCCCAGACATGAACTATAGAACATGTGTGGAGAGAACTGAAGATGGCAGTTCAGACACTTCCCATCCAATCTGATGGTGCTTGAGAGAATCTGCCATAAAGAATGGGATAAACTGGCCAAATCCAGGTGTTCGGAGCTTGTAGAGCCTTCGCCAAGAATACTGGAAGCTATCATTTCTGCCACAGGGGCTTCTCCTGAATGCTTTTGTAAAGGAGAGAGTCCAGGTTTTGATTTTTAATACATTTGCAAAAAAAAAAAAAAAATTAAAAAACAAGTTTTCACTTTGTCATTATTGGTCACTGAGCGTAGATTGATGGAAAAATGGCAATTCTATTAATTTAAAATTAAATCTACAACACAAAGTGTTGGGGGTCTGAATTATTATTATCTAAAGCCACTGTATATCATCAGTGTTTATACAGTCATATACTAGTCAATATATACTGCAGTGGTGGAGTCAGTGTCCCTGCTGCTGGTGTATAGTTTTGAATAAGAAACATCCACTGAAATAACCATCTTATGTATTTTGACATGTACACATTTACAGAGCTGTGAGAACAACCCCAGTGCTACTCACCAATCATTTCTCCCTGGTCATGTATCATCACAGCCAAGTCCTTGAAGATCTGGTTTACATCCATGATGTCAGACTGAAAACAAATGGACAAAAGGCTAGAATCAGCTGTAGCAGGGGTGTATGGTCCTAGGAACAAGACAGCAGAGGTGTGCAGACATGGTGGGGGGCTGATAGTCTTCACTGTGACCTGGTATACGTTCATATTAGACATAGTAAGCAGAGGCTGACCTCCAGCTGCCTAATGTTGGTTTCTCTTTCCTTGATGAGCTCCAGGTCCTCCTCTGTGATGCCCACGTCCTCGGTCTGGGTGGTCATCTGACGCCAGTCCTCTTGGCTTTACACAAACAGGACAACATTTTTAAAAAGATGTGAAGGGCTGAAAGAGTACGTGTGAACACAGGTGCTAACCGGTACAGAAGAATACTGAGCAGAGGTCAAAAATATAAATATAAGATAAATATCTTTCCTGTTGTGTTTGTGGTACATTGTGTTCAGTCTTGTTTTCTCTTTGTTGCACTTTGACTTATAAAACAGACATTCAAAGTGTTACAATGCAACTGCAAAGGGAACCTACGTTAATACTTTCACACATGTGATCTGTGCCATCGCTGAGTTAATGTGTTAAGCAATGTTTTTTTTGCTTGGAAGTTTTAAAATCACACTAAAACAAGAGTGAAATACAATACACATTGCCGTATTCTATTTCTTTCCAATGCATGTCTTTACTGTCATGATTTAATAAAATAAAATAAAAAAACTGTAAAGTACAGGGAGTTTATTTACTGCCTTTCATTTCTCATGTTACATTAGTAAAAAAGACATTTCTTAACCAAAAAAGTGAAGAGGTGCACTGAGTTTGTGTTGTCCAGCAGAGGGTAGCATAGACCCGCCTGCCGTCTTCAGGACTGGGTACATGGATGCTTTTTAGATTTCTTTTTCAGATGAAAATGTGTTGTCCATGGCCAAAAATGACTAAACTAAAATGAAACAAACAAAAACAATCACAGTTTTATTTTTAATATTTTATATTTAAATTTGAAATATTTGTTATGTTTGGCATCCAAACTTTTATCTACTGCTGACAAGTTCCATGTGACTGTGCAATTTGATTTTAGAACTAAAAGGGCTACTTCACTAAAACTAATTTGTTTTCTAAGGAGAATAACTGCAACAGAAAATAATAAATAAATAGTAGAGTTATTCCCTATTCTCAAGAAGTATTAGATACCTTTAGCCATGGCACACAGAATTAGAGGCTACTTACAGTTATACAGTTGTCAGTATATATATTTATATTTTCATTTGTTTACTTATTTCATAATGTCTTGATTAATTCAATTAATTTTGCACACTCTGGGTCTACAAGGTGAGTAACAGTCACTTACTTATCGAAAGACACAAGCTTTTCATCCCGAGAACTGTCCTCGGTCTTAAAAGAGAAGGAAAGACCCAATATTGTCAAAGTCAAGTCAGCAAAAAACAGGTTATCAAGACCAGACTCACATGAATCTGATGTTTCATCGATGCTCTTGAATGTATGTAAATAGATGAATTCTTTATCTGCCATTCTGTGGTGTGACTTACTGAGAGGCGGGACCCGGCCCTCGCTCTGGCTACCGACTCTTTCTCCTTCTCTGCCGCACGCCGCTGGACTGCTTGGAAGTTGTTGAGAGCTGCTGAGAAATCATTCATCAGCCGGTCCCTCTGGATCTTCTGCTGCCTCTGGACACCACAGAGGAGAGGAAGATGTACAGTATAAAACCAATTAGACAAATAAGAAGCGAGACAAAGATGGTCACATTACATCATTTTATATACAGTGCAAATAAAAAAATATTCACCCCCTTGGATGTTTTACCCTTTTACTGATTTTTATAAATCAATCATGGTCAATATAACTTGGCTTTACTGACAAAAAAGGGCAAAAAAACATTGGCTATGTACAGTAACTAGGGCTGGGCGATATGGCCCAAAATTCATATCCCGGTATAATTTTTACGTGTCACGATATACCTCTTATATCCCGGTATTTCCTTGTACACAATATTCAGTTAAATTCAAAGTCAAAAGGCATATGTGATATTATAAGAATGTTTATTAACAGTTTTAAAACTGAACATTTTAGAGCTAAGACGCTAAGTTTTTCTTGTTTTTAAACACTCACTGGTGTAAATGTCACTGTTAAATAAATAAAAGACAAAATAAAGTCCACAGCTGTGCAAATAAACAATTTTGAATAATTAGGAAAATAAATATTCAGCCAATAATGTCAATAAAATAAACTGAAAGGGGATGTCTTAACTCCTTGCTCTTTTATGACAGGACTGTTGTGCTAATAATAATAATCTTAACAAAACTTTTGTAACTTAACATGAAAAGTTAAATTTCCTGTAGACACAGTTAGATTGCTTGTAAACTCTCTTACAGTTTTTTTGCAAGAAAAACAAGCCTGTCAATAGCATCAGGCTTCAGGGATGCCCTGTGACAAGTTACAATATTTCCACTGCAAGTAAAGACTCTTTCTGAAGGGGAACTGGTGGCTGGGATGCAAAGATATTTCTTTGCCACGTGACTCAGGGATGGAAAGACCACTTCATGTTCTTTCCACCATTTGAGGGGATCTGTGTCACTCTCCACACTGGCAGACTGCAGGTAACTTTGGAGTTCAAGTTCAACTGCCTGACGTGGTTCAAGTGTGGTGCTGCTGCTGGTGAGTGTACTCTCAGAGAAGAAGCTTGCCAGTGACCTCTTCTTCTTAGGTGCTGGTGGTGGCAGTGCCACTTCCACTTCTTTTTCCAGAGCCCAAGTTGAAGTGGTGGGCAGACCGCTGCTATTAGCAGCCAGCAGAGACTCGACCTCCAAAACAACTTTATGTTTCAGGACTTCAGTGTTTTCTTCCGACACATATTTCATCCTGAACCGTGGATCCAAAAAAGAGGCCATATCCAACTGGTCACAAATGGCTGGGTCAGCATACTTTGCATTGAGGTAATTCACAATGTGGCTCTTGGTGGATTTGCAGAGCTCACTATCACCATCTTCATCAGCCAGAAGATTTGTTTTGAAGAGGTGCAGCACAGGTTTGACATATGAAAGGGTGACATACTTCTCACCTCAAAGAGCGTCGGTAAAGTCCTGAAGAGGTTTCAGGGCCTTTTGGACTGCCTCTAGCCATGTGGGGACAAGATGCCTACACTTTTTGTCAGCAGACAGGACTTTGAGGAGTGCTGCTTCTTCCTCTAGGACCCTCTCAATCATCTGCTGCCTTGATTCCCAGCGTGTGGCTGACTCTGTGATGAGCTGTTGAGCTGGCAGACCCAGCTGAATTTGGACTTCAGCCAACTCTCTCCGTTTTTTCCAGCTGTAGGAGAAGCTGCTGACAATTTTTTTACACAGAGAAATGGCCTGGGTGATGCGGCTATCATCCATACCATGTCCTGAAAAACAAAAAAAAGAAATTTCCCTTTAATTTTTAAAATCTCTTTTATGACTATTTGGCTAGGATGAATTTTGCATCTAAGTCAAATAACACACAGGAAGTAAACAATAAGAATCTTATCATTAATAAATGACTGAATTTACAGTCATATATTTATAGTTTAATCTGTTTGACAGCCTTAATTCATATTTTGTAACTCTTTGTGTATGAAAAAATGATTAAACCTCTAAAATAATGTTCTAAAATGGAAATGTCAGAAAAAGTATCTTTTTACTTGAATGGTGAGCAGAAAATCTGTTAGAAGACTACAAAATGTTATGATATACTCCCATATTTGTGTATGTTGTTTAATGTTGCTGCGCACCCCATAAACACAGTCGAGCCAAAAATCCATTAGACCACTACTCACCAACAGCCAGATGAAGACAGTGACCAAAGCACTGCATCCTCCGCCACCCATTCATTTCCACTGCTTTGACGATGTTGGCTCCGTTGTCCGTTGTAACAGCAAATTCGTCACATTAGCCAGCCGGGCATTAAGTGTCTTCCGGACATCCGTATACATTTCTGGCAGCACCTCTCGTGCAAAATACTTGCGCGAGGGCGACTGGTACCTAGGCTCAAGTGCTTTCAGTAGTTTTTTGAATCCATCTTGCTCCACTGTGGCAATAGGGGCCATGTCCTTTGCAATATGGTATGCTACTGCATTTGTAATTTCACGCCACTTTGCACTTTTTTTTTGTATTGTTGTACACAGTATTTTTTACCATACTGACTCTGAGAGTCGAGGCAGTCCAAGTAACTACAAAACAGTGCTGATTTATTCAAAGGATCCACAGGCAGATGAAAGATGAAAGACCCTGAGCCCACCAGGCCTATACATTATATGCCTTCGGTTGGGCTAGCCCCATACTACACAGAAATGTCAACCGAGATGTCTCTGTTACCAGCTGTGCGGCTGGCCATAGCAGTAGTCAAAACATGAAGCAAATCAATGTGTGTGTGTGATGTCTGTTGGTTAAGTGGTGTGTAGCTAAAAACATTCTCACACAACCTCTAGTAACATGTCGTGATATTAAACATAAGAACATATTATGGCTAAGGCTACAGTTATACACGTCATAATAATAATATTAAACACCCTGTCTGCTGACAGTCATCAACTCTTCTCTCTAGTTATCCTTGACCAGATGTACCCTGTAGAAACTCATAAGCATGACTAAGCATTTAACAGTCTAACTAGACATCCTATCTCCACTAAACATTTCTAATACATAAAGTATCTAACCAATATCTATCTGACTAAAAATACCTAACA